CTCCACCTTTGCCTTTTCTAGAGCACAAGTTTGAGAGCCGTGTTCTAGAGCTCAAGGTTTCTTTGGATGGGATTTAGGTCTACTGCCGGGTGAAAGAGAAATTGAGTTTTCTGGGCTCCCATCTCCACAGACTTTAGTCTCAGTAGTAATGAGATTAACTAGCATGTAGCCAGTACTTACTATGAACAAGCACTGTTTCAAGCACTTTACACCTTATTTCAATTCCCATGACAATTTAAAATGGGAAGTATGGTTGTTATCACATAGGGGAAACTAAGGCACAGGACAGGCATGTGGTTTGTTCAGGGTCACACAGCAAATGCAGAGTTGGGTTTGAAGTCAGCCGTCAGGCTCAGTCAGGCTCTAAAGGGCCATAATTTAACACCTTTCTTACCATGGCAACTTGGCTTTTGTATATGTTGAGGTCACAGTTCAGCATTTGAGGAGAACATCTGCTGCCATGAAAACTTAGAAACTGCCTCACTAGAGTGCGCCTGAGTAACTGGGCTCTTCTCAAGCAGCATTCAGTGGAGGTAAGTTTCATTTCCTCCACTGAAGGTCAACAGTTTTTGTGTAGGTGTGTGCATATGTGTAGAGCAACACTCAGTTGGGAACAGCCTTGGCCTGACGGAGAAAGAGAAATGAGCTAAACTTCTTGGAGCATCTTCACACACTGGCTCTGGGCCTCATCTGTATGGAGGATGGCTTTTGGTCCTTTCTCCAACAACCTCACATGTGTGTTTACTCCTTCTTATACCATGGGAGGTAAGTCTTGAGTCTGGAAAGGACCCACCAACAGGAGAGCAACAAGTGAGCCTGAGTAAAATTCCCGAAGAGTAGCCAACAGGCAGTTTCCTGTGGCTGCCTTGTTGTAATAATTTGTCGTCTAAATCTCCTCCTCCTCAATTTGTGTTCTTCAAGGATCAAAAGCAGAGCTGATCATCAAGGTCCACTACATAGCTCTCTGATGTAAGCTAACCTGCAAGGACAGCAGGAGTTCATCAGTATGGGTCGCCCTTCCTCAGAATTGAAAACATTCAGCTCTGGGTCTGGCAAATACACCTTTCTCTTAGGTGTGCTTGTGCTTAGCTCCAGGTTACCTTAACTTTTTCTAAATTGATGACATTTGCCAGGAGTTCATTAGGAAAGGACTGCTTTAATACTTACTTTAATACTGTGCAAAGGAATATCCCCTTCTCTAAGCAGAATTGGGGCTTCACAGTAAGGTGGGACACAAAGAGGCTTTTTAAAATTAATAGCATCCGATTGCACAATAAAACAGTGTTGAAGCAACAGCGTCTTACAGCACTGGAGAGCAGATCCAACTACTTTTTAAAAAATCTGTTATTTAAAAAAAATGTTTGTTGTGTGCAAAGAACACCCATAGGTTCCATTTTGAGCCGTGGCCCCTGAGCATTGTAAATGGATGTAATCTAGGGTAGCGGGGTCTCAATTCTGGTTGCTTGGTGCTGGCAGCCAATAGGGGGCGCGGCAGAGGTGGCAGTGCCAGGCTGAGAGGAGCGAGTGGCCGCGCCATATGGGTTCGCGAGGACGCGCCTGGAGAGACGCGCCTGGCTCTGTGCTCCTCTCCAATGCCATCTTCTTCCCATTTGCAGCTTCCCACTTCCCATCTGTGCCCACCCACTGGTTTCTCAAAGATTTTTTTTTTTTTTAAATTGGCATGGTTCAAGGAAAAGGAATCAGGAATATGTGGGTTCCCTGTCCTAGGTTCACACAGCATTGGAGATACGTGGCTACTGTGACCTGGCCAGCTTCTTGCATGCATTCTTGAAACTGTGATCCCGTGTCACTGCCGGGGGCTGTGCATTTTGCTGCACGGTGCTTATCACAGTGCTCATGGTACTTTGTAAGTTGCCAGCAAAGCGTTTTCTTTTCCTTTTCATCTTTGCCAGTCCTCCCTACAGACTCCAAAAGGCATCTTCCGAAAACTGATAATTAAAGCTATGGAATCTGAGCATGAGTAATCGTTACCTATTTTGTTTGGGTGCAGCTCTTTAGAGATGATGATGTTCTTGCCAGTAATTATTAGGTTATCACCTTGTCATAGCAACTCCTTCAGGAGATGTGATTTTAGGATAAATGTTAGGCCAACCCTTGCTGTTTAGTTCTCTGATTCAAATAAATGTAGTATTCCAGGTTAACCCCTCACCCCCACCAAACTGAATAGAACATAACTAGATGACTGTTTCAAGGATATTTTGAAAACAAGTATTCAGTAAAATATCTGTTTCATCCAGTAATAAATAGTTTACAGCAGCCAGAAATTCAAAATATCACAGCACATTTTGCAGAATACTATCTAGATTCTGCCATCTTGCTGAAACATTCCTACGTATTACTAGCACAGTTTTTTATTGATTGAAGAGTGAGACTATTTGGTATAGTTAGGTTACCGAAAATTCAACGTTTTCAAAGATGCCAGCCTTAAATAATAGGTACTGGTAGACTCCTGCTTTGTTGATGTGCTTTGGAAGACAAGAGAGTGCTGATGGACAAACCTGAGATCTGCATTCAGGCTGAACACAGGATCTCTTTATTTTTATTTTATTATTATTTTTTAATCAATTAGGGGAGAGATGGGGATGTGGTAAAAAGAAACCGAGTCGAAAGGTTGTCCTCGGGCAAACTCAGTGGTTGTTTCTCTTAAGGCTGTGATGTAGTATATGGCCCCAGTGGAGACCCTTCGACTTCTTTATCACATTTCTCTACTCCTGCGTCTCAAAGTTAGCTTCTGTATTCAAAGATTCTCCATTGCAGACCCAGAAAGGTAGAGGATGCATAGAATGTTCCTTAATGAATGGCTGAAAGGCTTTTGGTAACAGAGGAAATGGATAGATTGTGTTTCATTGACTAAATCAAATCACAGGCCCCAAAGACCTGGATTTTAATCCCAGTATCTTTGACACTGCTCACTCCCTCTCCACATATATCTATTCTTACCCAGTTTCATTAAGGAAAGATCTTTCTTTGGGTATTCCTGAATTTCTTAAGCAGCTATTGTTTTTATTTGGCTTTCATATTTCATTAGGTGAGATACCCATCTTTCCAAATGTGCCCACAAATTACCAGTCTTCATTTAGCAAGTGAAACAAAAATAGTTCAAAATTATATGTAGGAAAAATTTTCCCATCTGAAAATTTGAAGCAGTAGAAGTTGGATTTTGCGAGTTTGTTTTGGGTAAGCAGCAAGCATATTTCCCTTGGTTGGTTCAGCAAAAACATTTCTGTCCCGTCATCTAGTTAGGGATAAATGGCATATTGTGGTTTCCAAAACTGAGACTGCATATGCTGCACCCAAACTTGCTCAGTTTGGGAAGCTCATGAGTAGGCTTGCCTTTGATTTTTTTTTTTAATTCCCCTGAGTTTCTCTTTTGGCCAAAGAGAAATTTCTTGTATGCCATTCAAAATACTTGAACTTATTTTCAACCCAGAATACAGAAGTAGCTAGTGAGGCCCTTCTCAGAAATTCATTGACATGGAGTGGGGGAAAGAAGGTAGGAGGAATAGAAAGGTCACAAAAAGCTCTGGTGCATTTTCCTTTTTCTGGATATTGGTCCACAAAGAGAAACTCCTAAAAGAAAATGCTGATGGATTTTGTGTTGTCTCTTGGGTTTCTCCAGTAAGAGTGTTAAGGTGTCCTTTGATCAGTTTTTGATTACCAACACCCCAAACAGCTTATGCTTTCTAATGTTATATTTATATATGGTTCTTTGAAAGAGATGGTACAGAGAGAGAGAGCATTTGGGGAAGGTGCATTTAAGGGAAAAATAATTTGGTATTAAGAACATTTTAGAGCTGGCTAAGAAGTTTACGAGAAAATATATTTATTTAGATTTTTCTAGAATGACCATGATGAACAGCAATGGCTTAAAGTAAATAAGAACAAGTAGGAACAACAACTGCTGTGGGCCAGGAGTTGTGTTAGTCTTCCAGGAAATCTCAAGGAACTTAAAATACAGGGTCCCTGTCTTCCTGGAGCTTTTAGCCTAAAGGAAGAGTCTATCATATGTACCTTAATTAAGTACTTGATACTTTGAAAAGGCACAACTTTTGACAGAACCCAAATGCAACTTAATCTTGTTTCTGTAAACTTTATTCATCGGGATCAAAATCTTCCACCTCTAGATAATATACCTGACCTGGAGGGCCCCAGGGCTTTTCTGGTCATTCTCAGGTAGTACAAAAGATTACCTGATCAATTTGAGTCACACAGTCTCATTTCAAGCATTTAACATGTTTGGTCTTAGTAGTCAAAAACTGGATTTTGACCTAGCTATACAGCTCCTCCTTACCTCTTCCAAAGCCTGCTTGCAGTGGTAGGGGAGGCTACAGAGACAGCTCTCTGTGTGCAGTCTCCTATATTTTTTTTCTACATCCTTAATTAAGCAGTGGGGTTTAGCAGGGTTGAACAAGTTCTGGGGGCCTTCCTCTGTGTAGTGGGAATGTGTATTAAGCTTTGTTTTGAGATCTGAGCGTTGGAGCCTTGGTTGTGTTTGGGGGGGGGGAGAGAGAGAGAGAGCTATACTGGAGTCTGGTCACACTCTGTTGCAGGCACCATAAGAGCATTCTCCATGAGTTAGGTCATTTGCACCTTACACCTGGTCAGATATGCACATTCATTATCACCATAAAACCCAAAGAAGTGTATTCCTGAGTGAGTTTGATAGCTTATCTAAAGGCTGCAACTCTGTCAATGAGACTGAGGCTTCAAACTCATACCAGCTGACCAGATTCTGGATTTGTCACCTTGATGACATCATGTATGTCCAGGATAAATGAGCTTGTGGAGAAAGGACAGCTTCTGACAAAAATTCAGGGTTAACAAACAAAGAAACACAAGGTGAGAAAGTAAAAAGAGCCTCTGCCCCGCCCCCTTCCTTGACTCCTCCAGATCTTCGAGGTCTGAGATCTAGGACTGTTTACAAGGGACCCTTGTAGGAAGCCCTGGAGGCCGTGCCACTCAGCGCCGGCCCCGCACCATCACCGGACCTCTGGGGATGTGACAGTGGCTCGGGACATGAGCCCGCTTGTTCGCTCACTCTCAGTGAAAAGAGTTTTGAAATGAGTTCTGAATAGACAGCATTTTCTTTGTGCGGTTGGTAAATAACACAGAGCAAAGTTAGCAAGTTGCAGCGCTTCTGCTTTCTGATTCTATGGAAACTTTTTGTAGGGAGAAGGGCAGGATGTTTTTAACAGAATGTGACCTCACGGGAACACTAGAGGTAAGGAGGAAAAAACTGATGGAGATAACTGAGTATTTTACATCTCAGAAAATAGAGCTTTTAATAAAGCTACAACAGCAGGTTTCTGCCACCTTACACAAAAACAAGTGCTTGGTAGTGTTGTGCAAAGTTTACATTGATTTGGCATTTGTTTAGATATGAGTAAAAATCAATGGTTTTCTTATGTTAATTTTCATGTGCACATTTTTTTTCTTCTTTAGAAAGTAATAAAATATCTGAATCGGGCAGCGTGGAGAAATCCTAAGAGAAATAGCATAAGAGCATTTTGGAACATATCCAGGAAAAGATAATCTTTGACACACCTGTAGGCATTCACCAGGTAAAGGTAAGGCAAAAAAAAAAAATATTGTCAAAAGTAGATTTTGGTTATTTTATCACATCTCATGGTGGTTTGAACTTTGGGGGGAAAATATACCCCATCATCCAGGACTGATTTTTGAGTGGGGAGTTGGGAGGGGCCCACCTTTTGCCCCTCCCTCTTATAGGCATGGACATGGTAGCCCTGTGTATGTCCACTGTGCCAATGGGCGGTCACCTGGAGTTGTTTCTAATGTCAGCTGTGGAGGAGTAGAGAACATGGTAATTGGGATGGAAGGGACTTGACAGATCATGATATTCTGCTAAGAACGTCAAAGTGTGTAATACTGCAAATGTTACTTGTATAGTATGGAATTACTTTTGGATTTATATTTGCACTGAGACTGACTCATTTTCTATTTAGAATTTTTAAAAAAATCACTTTTTACGGTGCTCAGATGAGAAGTACATCTGTTGCTTACATATAATAAGCATCAAATATGAAGATATGTTGAATACTTGAGCCGTTTGTTTGTCGCTATAGGAGACCTGCAACATATGCGTGCTGTATGTCTCTTTACTGGAATCTAGACACTGAGAAATCAAACTTTATGGTTCTTTCCTTGAGCAATGAGATTTGTTTTTTAATCCCTAGCAACTTTTCACTCACTAAAAAATGAACATCATTTAGAACCCTTGAATTGGGTGTTTTGAATGAAGCTTGGGACAAAGATTGTATTGGTCATTATGACCAATACAACTTGAGATTCTTAAAGTAAAGCTTAGTAAACACTTTTATTTATTGACATATTGTATATACATAACATGAGCTTTATAACAAGATTGTTTCCAGCATGCATGGAAATCAAGCTGTTGGTTTTCGGGACTGTGTCAGTTTTATGTCTCATGATTGTGGGTGAAGAAAAGCAGTTACAACTAGAGTGGAACTGAAAGTGAGGCTAACAGCAGGTGTTCTGACAGAAAAGAGCTTCTGATTTCTGAGCAATTGGTGGATACATTTGTTGCATACAACTCAGAGCCTTGATCTTTCTAACTAATTCAGATAAATTGCTATCAGATTAACTGGAATGGTCCCTTCAGATCAACTTAGAATACTTAATGCAAAAGAAGTGCTTCTCATGTAAGCCATGTTCATGCAGCTGAGATACAAGGATATTCCTAGCAAATTAACCCTATGTTAAATAAATTCAAAATAATATGCTGCTTTCCTTACTAACTTTATTTTTATTTATTTTTTGGTACTGGGGATTGAACCTAGGGATGCTTTGCCACCAAGCTGCATATCCAGCTCTTTTCATTTTTTTTTTTTTAAATTTTATTTTGGGACAGGATTTCACTAAGTTGCTAAGGGCTTCATTATGTTGCCGAGACTGGCTTGGAACTTGTGATTTTCCTGCTTCAGCCACCTGAGTGTTTGGGATTACAGGCATGGACTACTGTGCCTAGCTCCTTACTGAATTTTTAGATGACAGAACTTTTTAGATAACCAAACTTTTTAGATAAAAACATTTTCAGTTTGTGGTGTGTGGATTATCTGGAAAGAGCTATATCTCTAATATGAAATAAAAATTAAAATCAAAGATCCAAAACCCCAAATAAATCTTTACTTTGTTTGTTTTTAATTGAAATGCAACTTTATATAGTACCACATAAGAAATGCCCCTTGAGTACTGTCTTGACTAATCTGGGGAGCAGGGACGTGGGAGGGTGGATTGTTTTCTGAAAACCACTTACAGAAGTTTACCAGCAGAGGGCAGCGCAGAGTAATGAACTCTGAAATGTTCCCAAATACACGTTCAAAAACCTAAAGAAAAAATATCTACTTAAAAGTATTCTTTTTTGAACAATATCTTTTACCAAAATTATATATGTCTAAAATGATAATTAAAAACTTCCAACACATTAATCCTTAAACAGGCTTCTCACAATGTTAAGTGTCAAGATACGAGGGAAAAAATCATAATTCTCTTAGGTTTCTGATATTGCATTTCAGTTTTTCTTTTTTTGAAATTACAAAAGACTATGATTTCTAGTACCAGAAATGTGCATAAGGTCTCATTTCACAGATTTTTCAGGATGATATTTCTGATGAAAACTCCTAAATTCAGATTCAGGGAAGAATCTCTTATCAAATATAACATTTGAAGTAACAGTTTAGGAAGTTTTTCATTAGATCCTATTTCCTTCATGCAAAACAATATCATATTGTTCTACTTGTTAACTTTTTTTCTTTTCAGAATTATTATGGTAAACTTTTTTGTTTTATAATAAGACACGTAATGCTCAACAGTTGGACATATATTGGAAATCTGGGAAAAACATACTAGATAGTCTCAAAGAATTTAGAGGACTTTTTGGAAGCATGTTATATTTTATTTGAGGATGATTATAAAACCCTAACTCATTGACCTATGAATAAATATTTATAATAGCTAAATATCTTTATACTGAATTTTATCCTGTATCCTGAAAGTCATCATTGGAGAGTACCATTTTTCTAGGCTGATTAGAATTATAAAATTCTTTTCTCTTTTCAAAAGTTCATGAGCACATAACAAATTGGAACCACTTTTACAAGCCAAGTGACCCCCATATGTCCATTTGCTTTCTTGGATTTACCTTCTGAGTGACTGTGGCTCATATTGACTTCAGATATTTGACATATCAAGTATCGTTGTCTGCAAAGGTTTCCCAGGCAACTGCAACAATTCTTCTGGTTCCAGTTAAAAGTGCCCTTGAACTCTCAGCTCATTTCACTTCCCTGTGTGGCATAATGCGTGCAGCAGAAGGAAAACACCAAAGAATTCATATAACAGGCTAATGTGAGTGGGTGGGTGAAGAGAAGGATGTATTCACAAAAGTGTCCACTTGGGGTATTGAGTTGGCTGGTTTTGCTTTTTTTTTTTTTTTTGGTATCAGGGATTAAACCCAGGGGCAGTTAAATAATCCACATTCCCAGCTCTTTTTAAAATATTTTATTTAGAGACAGGCTCTTGCTAAATTGCTTAGGGCCTCGCTAAATTGCTGAGGCTGGCTTTGAACTCATAATCCTCCTGCCTCAACCTCCCAAGTCTCAGGGATTACAAGTATGTGCCACTAGGCCTGGCCCTTTGTCAAGCTCTTATTTGAATGGGTAGGGGACAGGGAGAGGCTACAATCCAAACCCTGTGTTCTGGGTTGGACTTTATTTGCTCTCATGATTCATAGATTGACTTTTGAGAGTAGAGTCCCTAACTCTTGCCCTAGTCCCCCCAAGAGCTCCTTTAGGTGCAGATTGCTAGCCTACCAGGGAATGACCAAATCCCTGAGTGATGCCTTCCTTAGACCCTTGCTGTCACAAACATTGACCTTTGCAAATCACGGTTTTAGATCTTGTTTCTTACATAAATCGTGAAGGTGGGAGTAGTCTTGTTCAATTATTATTTTTAGTTTTCTTTCTTTTTTTCCTCATTTTTTTATTGGTGCATTATGGTTGCACATACTGATGGGATTTGTTGTTACATATCTGTACAGTCACACCATGCACAATATAACAACATGATTTGGCCAATATCACTCCCCAGCACTTCTCCCTTCCCTCCCCACCTGTCACCCCTAGGTCCCTTTCTGCTACTGATCTCCTTATGATTTCCATAAGTTCTGTCCCTGCTTTTCTTTTCCTTTTTTGGACGAAAGTTTTCTAAGTACCTTCCAAATAGTTTTTAAAGCACAGTGGAAGGAAGAAATTGGAATCATTGATCCTGTGATTTGTGAGGGGTCCTGCTTTTGGGCATTGATAAAATAATAAAGATTTTACCTTTTGTAGACACACAGCAGAGTTTGAACTTTATTTTTTCTTCTCTTCCCTTTACTTCTGCTCTTGTTATCATTACTGAATAAAATAGTGACAAGACTTATTGAAAAATAAAGTAATAGATATATAGTCTGCACATCCTACTAATGGAACTCTTTAAATAGGAACAGATTGCTGATCTAAGGACAGACTTCTGCATAAATCTCTGTAATACATTGAACTTAAAATCTAGAGAGCTCCATCAGTTGATTTTGTGGCATCTTGATCCTGCCATAAAAGTACAGTTATGCCCTTTCTTTCCTCCCCCTACCTCTTACCATTCATTTCTCCCTGTATTTGTTATATTTTGTTCTACCAAAAATACTCACTGGGATATAAATTTTCCATTGAAACATGTCTCAGTAAGCACTTTTAAAAAAAGTCTCTTGTGAGTCAGTAACAAATTTTATTAAGGAAATTTTCTTATATATATGAAAGCATATATAATATGGAACATATATAATAATTACTTTAGCTACTGGCCCTCCTCACCACTGTGATTATTACTTTGAATAATCCTTGACTTGTTAAAATCCACATAGATAAATGTAATTTTATAGTGGAAAATGTAGTTTTTAGGATATGAAATAATAGTAATCAATTTGAATAAATATTTGCTATTTGTTTTCATAAAAGTTTTAATCCTCAAAAGAGAACTCTGACCAAAATGGGGATCTAGCAGGATCAATGAAACAGGTGGCATGAGTCATATCACTGGCTTTTAATTAAAAGGATGCTGTGGATGTTGGCATGGACTGGGCTACACATAGGCAGTTTTAGAATTTCTTAAGCTGAAATCCAGCTGGAGAGTTCTGAGTCAGATGGACTTATTTTGATAATTTATAATCTATCTGTGTATTCAGAGCATTGATGTTATAGTTTTGATACCTAAATCACAGTTTAAAAATTTCAAAGAGGTATATGAATTCTGAGACTTGGACAGTTATTCCCAAGCCAAAGGATTTTTGCACAAAGCTAATATGTATAATAGGGAATCAGTCTTTCACTGTATAGTTTTGTCATCATGTTTCAATAACTGAATGAATATTCTGAATTAATAAGCATAACGTTTGTATAAACTAAAGACTAGTCTAAGCTCTGCATTCATTGATGGGAACCTTAAGCAAATGTTTCTTTTCATCAGCTTGTTCAAAAGGCATAAACATAATTATGAT